GGGGGGGGGGGGGGGGGGGGGTTACAACGTTGTCAAGTTTCCTGACCTTGGGGTGGTGTCTACCAAATGTCCAAAATATCACTTTGGGGTTTGCAGATAAATATTATACAACCACATGCCTGGAACTGCTTGATATATTAAAGGTTTATTGCATACATTTCTCAACAAACAACGCCATGTCTGTCATTTTCGTTGTATTGGGGTAGACTGTCTCTCTGGAGCTGGCGGGGCTTCTAAGGGATCTTTGTCCTGCCCCAGACGATACATTAATGAATATGGAGCAGTGGTGGAATGATATTGACGGGAAATCCGAAGGATTGGAAGAAAGACCTGTCTCTATATCACTTGCACATCAGAATTCCCACCTGAACTAATCTGGGCGCGAACCCGACCCTTCGCGGCTAACTGCCTGAGCTGTGGCACGGTCCGCCGTGTATGTTTAAGGACTAATCAGTAGTGATTTTATCCCAGTGCATGTTACGTTACTGAAGAAACTGCCCGCAATTTGCAAGAACGATGATTGCCGCTGCAGACGCACCTCAGTGGTTTATCGCAAGTGGCCTCGAGATCTACGCTGGTTTAAGATTCCTTGTTTTATGCATTCCAAGAAGTTAACACGTTGAAGTACATAGATTTAAGACTCACGAGGGTCAATATTTGGACTGAGGTGGAAAGGTTTTGACGTCGTCTAATCTGACAATGGATACCAACATTTCGGAGGAACCTGTTGCATCCAGATTCAGGGTAGAAAACTACATTATGTCACAACCTAGAAGATAGCAATCGATACGTAAACATGTCGGATCAGAAAACGTCATCAGTTTCGGAAAATTTCAGACTGCTAGAGAATTTCATTTAATAAAGTCCTAACCTTTGTTCAGTTGAATAAATACTGCTGAACTTTTTTTAACCCAATAACTGCTTTATAGGATTTGAGTCTTTAAACTGAGATTTAATTAACTTGGAAGTTATTGAGAAATTCTGCTGTTTTAGAGCTCCAGCTGTGAATTAAAAGCCTATCTAACCTAGTCTAAGCAGGTTTCAGGACACTGCATTCAGATACATAAAGAAGCTTTACCATGGGAATGAGTAAAGCCTGTTGTTGGCTCTGTTTATAAAATGAGATACTAAACTGACTTCAGTAGTTTCTGAGGAATCTTTGTTCAGTCATCTCTTACAAAATGTTTCTGGCATTCAAAATTACTTCGGCATGATAAACGTTATTTCAGAAATTATTTCTGATACTAAGCATAAATTGAGTTGTAATAGGTCATGTACGTCTTATATGTTCTGCGTTCAACATATATTGGAGGAAAAATAGCCTTAAAATGATTCGGTGCAGCTGCTGTTGAGGAAAGACGAGGTATAACAGAGTACTTTGATTCAAAATTCCAAAGAAACCTTTTAAGCTTATTAAAACGCGTGTGAGATTGTTACTAGGTAGAATTCGTATCGGTCTAAATATGGATGTGACGCATGCCCAGTCCACGAATGTACCGAAACGAAGTGATGCTATTGGTATTGACAAGTTAGTGAGATCGAGGTGAAATATAAGAGAAACAATGGATAAATAAGTTTTTTTTATTTTCAAACGAAGTGTCATTTTTTGTCCTTTCATATGACCCAAGATGTGTACGCGTCCACATACATTGTACTTCATTTTGCCCTCAGCTTCGAAATTGACAGTGAGGAGAGCATTATTTACGGGACTTTTTTTTCTTCCGATTTCGCTTTTTCATTCTAATACCGAGGATGAATTCCAAGTAACGCGTGGGTTGTAAGGTCAGAGCATTCTTTCGTCGAAATCAATAAGGGTGATTTGAAACAAGAAATTTGTAGCATTTATTTTGGTTCACATCTGTAACGTTCTGACACCCAGGTCAATCAATAGCGCGCAGTAGATTTTTACATCGACTATATGATTTATTCCTAGGTTATTTGGTGTTTCAGTTTTTGCAAATTTATTCAATGGTGCACTACGTACTAAATGATTCAAGTTCTCGGGACAAACTGTGTTTAAATTTCTAGTCAATTTTTAACAGTCATTGTGCTGCAGTCTTCTGGGTTGTAGAGCCGGGTAGTCTGGTGAAAGTTTACCAACGTTTCGGAGGTCTGTGCTGCCTCCATCAGCAAGGACGTACAGCCCAGAAGACAGCCTTCTTTGGACTCGCTGCCGTGAAGACCTCAAATCCTACTTTGTCCTTGTGTAGCGTCTTTCAAAAGTGCAATTCATATTTAGTCACACTTTAATCCAATGTCTACCAGTCCTGGAATTATCTTCGTTCGCGATCAGTTTATATTGATTTTTGATTCGTCTTTATGAAATCTTAAAAATACAGGATACGTATTCTAAAAATTAAACAACCACAAAATGGATTCGACGTAAAGATGTTTTAATCGAGCACCACGCCATGAAGACGTGGGGAATTGAGGTAGGTGTGGTTGACATTCTTTTTGACTGTAGTCACTAAATGGAGTTTGGGTGGACAGCTTCGTATCTCTGCCGCTTTACTTCCGGTGACGACTGGACAGAAGGCTGAGTAATCCCCAGAGTTAATCTAGACGTGGCGACCTTGCGCCCCTGCCGGAAATCGAACCCTGGACCTCCATTTTATAGCCACCCACTTTAATTATTGGTAGGTGTTTGTGATTTGTGTGAGCCGAGGTATCAAAGTCGCATGTCTGATGGGGTAACTGGGGACAGAGCGACCGGAGTCTGCAATTCTCCACGTTCCTTCATCAGATGCCGAGGTTATGCATGAGTTTATGTGTCGGCACTTCCTCCGCGTTATAATGGTATGACGCTGTGCCCGTATATTGGCCGTCAGCATTGTCTCCCGTCCCTCAGGATCAAATTGCGGGCATTTTTCAACATTAATAACGTTTTTGTGATGATTCTTCATTACCAGTATAGCTGATAGGTGTACGAAGTTAATGAAACACTTCCGGGTGTCTTTTTCAGTTCCTGAAAGCGCACTAAAGTACTTACTTACTTTGATGACCCGTATTTAGAGTGCCTGAGCACTGCGGGTCCCAACTGCGATTGGTAATAATGACGGTAAGCTAAACAACGTAAAGAAACACATGGTCTAATACAGTGGTATTCAACCTTTTTTTGTTCGCGTACCCCCAGATATAATTTCTCTTCAATTTTGTACCCCCAAAGTTGTTGGTGTATAAGTCAAGTTATACATAGTATATAATCTACGTCTAAAATAAATTAAATAAATTACATTACTGATTATTCAGTGTTTATCATAAAATAATATTTTTTTTAAAATTTCGCGTACCCCAGGTTGAATACCACTGGCCTAACATACAAATACAGACGTTTGCCCTATCCCGAAAACCAAAACGCTCAAGTATTGCGCTGGCGATCTTGGCATCGAATCGGGTCCTGATGAGTACGAGACCAATAAGGAAAGAAACGGGCAGTCCTGGTAAGGCACCGACGAACTTGTTGCAAACTAACAAAGTACGGGGCTTTAGTACACGGCACTTACATGAATTTTGTGTTTTGGAACACGTAACAGTTGGCAGTCTTTACCGCTTGTAGGAAATTCTGTAAGCAGCTTTAAACAAATTGACTTATGCCATAGAGTAGCGTGTGTTTTGTGAAAATGTTTTGTCAGGCCGGAAGTGTTATCACGGCGCCACGTGTTTTAAATTAGATTTGATCGCGTAGAAGGTGTGGTATGCGAGAACACGATTTGTACTTTTTTTTACTGAAAATTTACAATGTTTTCAATGTCTGGTTAACTGTGTAAAAAATGTATCCAGCGTTTGAAAACAAAGCCGTCGTATGATGTACGAACCTTCTTCGTTTTGTACTTGTTTTTCTAAATGAAATACCAATAATAATGTTTTACGACAAATATTGTGAGCTTTTTATTGATGTAATACATAAATTCAGCCTGATTATATCACCACAGGTGTAAAGTTTTCAGTCTTGAAGATGGAGGTACTGTTTTTCTCCGAAACGTTGGTATCCAATTATAAGTCTAGACGGCGTCAAAACCCAGAAGGGCCTCCAAGGATGTGTGTAAGTTTAATTTGAAACTGTTTTCGTTACATGGCAGTTGAACAGAATGTATGCATTTATGGAACTGCATTGTGCCCACTGTTGATTTCTGTCACGATCTGCAGGAAGTGGACATTTATGCCAACTGTGCGTGAAGCCACGACGAACAGAAGATGTTTTAAACTACTCGTACTAGCAGACGTTGATTTATGATGTAATTGCAGTGGCTGGACTGTCCGCCGCCAGTGTCCTCTGTGCAGAGGCTGATGATCTTCATTGACTTCGGTTTTATCCTGCTGTTATTTGTGGAAATCTCGTACCTTCAAGACGTGTTTACGATGTCTGCCGTAAATATGTCCTTGGAATTCAGTGTTGTGTTTTGGATGCAGTGACAGTGGACAGAACACGTTAAAAATATCAGTTCATCTTCCAACATTTTTTTACTAGAGGCGTGGGTTGTTGTTTTGTAGGACTGGTCTCCTGATTTAAATTTTGTTTAATTAAGT